TACTCTGAGAAATGACTGAACCAGTAGCCTGCTAAATTATGGTGATTTATAATTGAAACAAAATCCTTGCAGATTAATACACAAACATATCCATGTCAAATCACATAATCTATGTCAAACTGAAAACAATGCCATGACTAACCCGAAGGACAGAAAAAGCACAAACATTAAAAACAGGCAACCACGTTAGCAGGAAACTCTTCTTACATGCCAGGGAAAATCATTTTTACAAATGCTCTTAACACAAGGAGGAAGGCAAACATACTGCTTCTTGACAGGTAATTAACCTGAGAAACAGACCAGAGCAAGATGTTGAAGAAAATAGCTAAAATCCCAGGCTTAATTCTTGCCCTCACAAAGAAAACCTGCTTCACTGGCAACTATATGCCCTTAAGGTTAGTAGTCTCTGTGTGGGAATAATTTAACAGGTATGTAACAACAGAAATTAGCATTAAAAATGCATATATTATAATAAACTTGCACAGGTAAATGTGTGCTTCAGAGATTAAGATCTTTAGCTAGGATTAGGAAGTATTATTTTCTCCTCCTATGGAGTTGCAGAAAGCCTTATTAGAGCTTGGCTTCCTGTAAAACATCTGGCATTGACTGACACAAGATACCTGACTATAGGAAATGCTGGCCTGGAGACAACAAAAAATGTTTATCTGTGTCACAAAAAACAACACGGAAAAAAATACCACCCTATATGTTTTGCATTTCATTCATCTCCCTCACGTATTTTAAATGGGATCATGAGGTGCTCTACTTAGGACACCTTTAGACACAAAAATACCCTTCCCTCGGTAAGATTACTCAATGCTGCCACTAAAATTCTGTTCCAAAAGGGTGGAGTTTTCAGCCTCCTTACTCATCAGAGTTTGTTGCAGGACAGTGCAATCAGTCTCATCACCTCTGGCTATGCCTCACATCTGCAGTCACAAACTCATAGGAAATACTCTCTTCTCTGAAGTACAGGAAGATGTTGAAAAAAGCTTGGGGAAATTTCTTGCTAAGAAGGAAGATAAATAACCAGTGAAGCTTCCAAGGCTTACTGAAGTGAATGGAATGGCTGGTCCCTGCAAGCTCCCGAGAGCAACAAAGAAGTGACAACCTCCAGCTGATTCTTACACTCCTAATAACAGGAGTGCCCATAAACAAAGTGGTTTGTATTTCTGATGCAGCAACCCAAAGCCAGGGAGAGGTGTGGCAGGGCAGTATTCACAAAAGCACCCTAGAAAACAAAATGGACTGGAACACCATCTTCTTCTCATAGATGCCCAATTGCATCGAAGGCAGTTTTTGGCCACTACAGAGAATTTGCGTTACTGGCAAAAATGACACCCAGTGAAAATATATTAGTAAATGATCTTTTCAAGTATGATCAGAGAAGTAAAAACTTGCCTTTTTTTTTTTTTTTTCTTTTTTTCCTAAAGTCAGATAATAAGGCCCAAAACAGTTAAAAAAAATGTGATCTGTTCCTGTGAAATCAACTTGAATCAAAGCCAGAAGACTATCAAAGAGAATAAAAGATGCAGATAAGGGCAAAAAGAAAAAGATTATTTGTTAATGATTTGGTATTGGGAATGTACAAGTGAAAAGTAGTCACTTCACAGACATTCAGTTTTATCTATACTGCCTTTGACACAAGAAAAGCAACACAGAGAAGTCCAGAACAGCACACCTGAGAAACTGAATAGTAAGAAAACCCCAATTTCATCAGATGAAATTATACAGAACCCAGAACCAGCAAATAAATTCGTCACTTCAGTTTTGTGTGCTTGTTCACTGTTGCACTTAATTTTAGAGGGGTATGTTACATACCTATTTATATTCCCCTTTTTAAAAATCAACATCCTAATCAAATCATGGAAGCTTGTCTAGAACGTACTTTATTAATACTAAACTAGGTGCTAATATTCTAATATCAATTTAATACTAAAATTGACTTCATAAATGCCAAGACAAAGCTCTGAACTTAAGTGCAGCTTAAGAACACTTTTAGAATATATATCATTCTAATAAGCAAAAGCCTTCTGCTACACTGAGATAAAGATACTGAAATTGCAAACATTTGTAATTTCTATTACTTCAATCAGAAGAAGATGGAATTGGAATTGCCATATCAAGTAATACATTTAAAATAATTTATTTTTAAATGTTTGTATGACATTTTTTACTACAACTTGTAAATAAGAGCATTGCAGATATAAATAACTGATCACCAACCTAAAAGCAGAGAGGTTACTTCTACTGGAACCAGGAGCATAGCTTCCTTTCACCTCCAAATTGAAACCAAAGCCCATGCTTCTGGACACAATTTTAAATTGCCCTGTAACTATACAAGGAAACGGAGGAGAACACACCTTCACCAGTGTAAGTTTGTGACTAGATCAGTTCCTCCTGCATTAAGGATTTCGATAAATCTCCAATAACATTTACAGCTGAGGGGAAGGAGAGATGGAGACAAGTATTGTTATGGCTGACCTAAAGCTAGTTAAATTATTTTTAATTTCAAAACCACCTTAAAGAAGTTTTATTTAATCTTGAGAGTTTTGACTCCTCCGTATTATACAGTGAAAACTGGTCTTCTGCAATCTTGCAAACAAAAAGGCCCAAAATTGACATTGTGCTTAAAAGACTTCCAGAGAGCCAGGCACTGCACGGGGGATGGGCAGTTCCAAGCCAAGAACCTCTGAACTCTGCTCACAGATGAACTTGACACAGTGAGCTGTCCTTGAGATTTACATTGTCATCGGCCTTTCAAGTAAGAAGTGTGAAACAGCAGTGAACTGCCACCACGTCATAAAGCAGTTCAGATGCAAATTGAATGAAACTTACAGTCAAGTTTTTAACAGTATCTTATTTACAAGCTGAATACCTATTATTAGCCACCAGAAAGCATCACAGATTGAGGCTTTTTAATGTTTAGGCTTTGCACCCTTAGTGCAATTAAAACACACTTTTCTGCAATTAAAGAATTGCCTAATAAGAATCCGAAGATTTCTCTAAGAAGCTTCCTCTTCAAAAGCAGTTTAGTAGATTTCAAAAAGCTAAAAACCAGCACCAAAAAAAATTCCAAAAACAAGCAAGTGAAAAAACCTCAAATAATTCTCAGATCTCTTAAAAAAAAAAAAGATGAAAGTGCATCCCCTGCACCCATGGAGATGGCATCACAGGTGTTCTTATAAGAAAGGATATTTCTCAGTCCAGCTTTCAAGTGCAACCCCTTCCTTGATGGGTCTACATGTCAACCTGTGGAAAAATCTGCAAGAATTTTGCCTTATTCCACCTTATGAGCTGCATTCTCCTACATAAGCTTCAAGTGATTAATGGGCTACACCAAGGACCAACTTGGTCCTGCGGGAACAGTCAAAACAGCACAAAAGCTTGAAACATAATATGTTCCAAATGATGATTTCTAAGGAAGACGGAGTTTTTATTAATTTAGCCTAGCATGTCAAGATTTATCCCGTCGTACATAAAATTCATGGCACATAAGTAACCTGGTGTTGATCTCACTACAGATTCTCACGCTGAAAAGTACTTAGATCTATAAAATCACACAGGGTGAGGCTATGTATTTTAAGCATCATAATTCAACAGATCATGGTATTGCGCTAACAAAAAAAAGGAAGATCTATTTTAAGGGAACTTGTGAAAACATTTTATCTCCAAGTATTACCACTTCCTTAGCCTCTCCCTTTAAATCTGTAACTCTACAATTTCAGCACCTTTTGAAAAATAAAGGGGAGGTGGGAGGGGGAAACACCTTACAGCAAGAGCACAAAGACTAAAATTCAGCAAAAGGTAAAAATATTCACACAACTCTGATCAGCTGAAAAGTATTATTAGACAACAGCATCTTACCAGAATGTGCCATAATGTCATCTGAAATGTTTTATGATTGAATTTAATTAACTAATTCAAACTGCTGTTTACTTGCAGTGATTCCTTTCCATCAACAACAACGAAAAAACAACCCAAAAAAACCCCCACGAAGAAACAAAACCCCACTAACCCCCCCCCCCAAAAAAAAAAAAAACCAAACAGGCCATAACCATGTTTACACTGACATTGTTTGCTAATTCACTTCCATGTTATTTGCCACAACACAAATTCATATTAAAACACAGAAAACTTTAAGGGACAATAATCCTTAATCCCCGACATCCTAGCACAAGCACTCTGACTTGGATTAGCAACCAATTGACAGCCTACCCATTAAGGCGTGCTTCGGGCAACAGTAACACACGGTATGTGTATATTTACCTCAAATGTAGCAGCTGAAAGGTAAATTATCTAAGAAATCCGCACATCTCATGAAAAGCATAAACAAGCTGTGCAGCAGGTTATTATGGTTGGGTCGTAACAGTGTAACTGTTCATCACTTCATCAGAATGGCTTGCTTCACAAATGCTTAATTCAGGTAATTGCAACTTTCTTTCCTAACATATTTTTCTTTTCACAACAAATTTTTATATCAGGTAGATGTACATACACTTTTTTTTTTTTCTTTTTTTCCATGAAATTATAGTCAGATGGGCCTTGATGCTCACGCTTAATGCAAAGGAAACCCAGTAAAATTATAGTATTTTAAATAATAGCTATAATGGCAGGCGGTTTCCCAACCTCCCCCCCAAAAAAACTAGCTTGTAAAACGCAAGCTGACATTCAAAGTTTTTCAGATACATAGCAAGAGAGGCTGCAGTGTGTTAAATTGTTTTAGCATTTGTACATCCTCACAGCAACCTCAGACCTGTGTAGTCAGCCCTTAAAAAACACTTAGAAAAAAACACAACACAAAACACCAAAACAACACACACCAAGGAAATGGAAAGAAAAAAACAAACCACCAAACAAACCAGGAAATAAAAATAAATAAATTAAGAAATGCATCAAATAGTTCTGCAGTTTTTATTGGTGTTGTTTTTTTTTTTAACCACAAGAACTCAACAAGCCGGGGAGGAGGCACCATAAATACTAGGTTAGAATATACCCACCCCTAGCCGACAGCTTTTTGGTGTTGATGATTTTGGCGGCGTATTCCTGTCCGGTGGTGATTTTCATGCACCTCCTCACGACGGAGAACGCCCCTCTGGAAACCGAGAAAAGTGGGGGGGGGAAGGAACAGACACCGTGTCAGCCCGAAGGAAACACTCCGTGCCGTTTGCAGGGCAGGAGCAGGGTTTCGGGGGAGAAGGGCAGCGATGCCGGCGGTGTCCCCAGGGCCGGCACCCGCCCGGGGACGGGGTGGCGGGGCT